CAAAATAATAAGTGCATTGGTTTCAAAAATTATGAGAAAATGGTAAATACAAAAGTTGTCAAGATTGTTAGGGTGTACAATTTAAAACTATTTTAAAGAATGCAGATTGGCTCAAAAAAGCGTGGCGAATAAAACTTATATTTTTTAAAAGACCCTATTTTCAAATTGTCTTTCGAATTCGTTTTGAAATTCATCTTTTTTATTCACAACAACACATACCTAAACGTAATAGTTGTTCCAATATTTTAAGTTTTCTAAAAAATACTAGTTCTCATAATTGCAAAAAAATACTTAGAAGGTAATCACTCAATCGCGGAATTTGTATTAGACGTTACGGGGTGTTCGATTTTCTTCAATGGCACACCATACAAATTATTACTTGTTATAAAAAATCTAACAAAAACCTACAACTTTGCGTCACAAAATGACATTGTCAAATTTTAACCTGACTAAATCAATTCATAAAATTTATTGTGCGAGCTAAGCTTTGCGAGTAGTACGATTTAACAAGGCTAAGTATCCTAATGGAGGTATACCAACTAGACAATCTAGAAAAGTAGTAAACCGGAATGCTACGAATGAGAAAAATAATTGGAAGTTTTACATCCAGTTGAAGATAATTCCAAAGTGTGTAGCCGTCAAATTGCTGGCTTATATGATACATCCCAATCTAACGTTAATCGCATCACTAAAAAACACAAAAATTATCCCTTCCACATGAAACAACACCAAGAACTTCTAGACCGTGATTTTGAACAAACGGTAAACTTCTGCACCGTTATAAATGAAGTAATAGAGGCCGATTCAAATTTTTTGACTAAAATAATGTTTTCCGATGAAAGCAATTCCACAGTAATAGTGCAGTTAAGTTATTAGGGTATTTTTTTTTCACGAACCATCTAACGGGCCTAGATATCTAAACTTTTTGAAAAATGATTTACCTCAACTTCTTCAAGAAGATTGAGTTCTAAAAATGTGGTTTTAGCAAGATAGAGCTCCGCCCATTACTACATAACAGTAGAGGTGGATTCATTGATGGCACCCTTGATCACACCGCTAAATTTCTTTTATGTGTTTATGTAAATTCCCCACTAAAAGATATAGAAAATAGAATTCAGGAAGCGTTTATGCCAAGGAAGAAAATATACCAAAAAGACTAAACATGTGTACCCAAGAAGAAGACCATATTTGATATATCAATTTGTAGTAATAAGTATTTAATATTATTTATAATATATCCTCCTGTAATTTTAAAATTTGGCGTTATTTTCAAAAAGATTTCTAATAAGTGTCTGGTGCTCTATCTGCGCCTTCTGCGTCGGTTTTTGCTGAGTAGAACTTGCTAACATTTCGCCAATCATCCTGTTGGCTTCTTCAGAGCTTGACTGAAACTGTCTCGCATTTTACTCTGTACCTGCTTATATATTGTATGAGACGGGCGGAGCTGAATTCCCATATTGATGACAGGTAAAAAGACCTGAGTCGCAGTTAAGATTGTTAGATTGTTTATAGATTTCTATAAATTTGTTTTAGTCTTAAGGCTCTTTCATGTCCTTTGAGACTAGTTTATATTTTTCGCCTGGTCTCTCCAATGTATTCTTTATCGTATGAATGGAATGCTTTAAACTCCTGGCATCTCAAATGGAATTTTGCCTTTGATGGATCGAAGATGATGAGAGATTTTTGGGAAAGTGGTTTTGACGCTACATTTCTTTGGAACTTTTGATATGTGGTCAGTGATGTTTTGAATGCAAGGAAGGACCACAATGGCAAGTGTAACATTGCTTTCGGCCTCATTGCTACTGGAAGGTTGTGGTGAAGTGTATTTTGCGAAGGAACGCTTAATATCTTTAATGTCGAAATTATTAGAGAGAAGAGCAGAGAAAAGGTGTTGTAATTCTGAGTTCAGTGACTCGGGCTGAGATAGTTTTACGGCTCTGTCAAGATCTGAAGAAGCCAACAGGATGATTGGCGAAACGTTAGCAAGTTCGACTCAGCAAAAACCGACGCAGAAGGAATTCAGAAGTTTTGTAAAAACTATTACAGTACCCTGTGAAAGTTTCTTTAAAAAATTAACAAGCCTTTAGGGAGAGAACATCAAGCGCAAAAGCAGAAAGTTAGAAGAAGATCATCGACTGAAACTGGTAAGATTACTCTGTACACTGGCCTTGTTGATACGTTGTAGGGACCATAACTAACTAAACTAACCATAACGTTATCCTCAATTTTCTTAAAATATCCCATTACGTCAAAACTTTATCCGCTTATAAAATTCTTCGAAAATCTAGTTTCGCTTTACTTCGAGAAATAATTCATCATACCCGTAAGGAAATAGACCAAATCAATAAGGCTTTTGTCTCTACACCTTGAAATTGCTTCCATCTTGTCCCCATCCGAGATCGACACCCTTTCAAACATGATTCATGACAAAGCTGAAAAAATTACATTCAGAAATATGAAAAACTAAACAACACTAGGAAAACCATCAAACTTCTCAACTACCAAACACTCTAATAAATGTATCATCGCACCAACTTTTAGACACGGAAAAATCAGTTCTTTCAAAAGGGTCCAACTTCGTCCTTGTCCCACGTATTATCCCAAAAGGGGAAATCATTTCAAATGTCAAGTCTTTCCCAAACAAACTGTCATCTGAAAAAGCAAATGACATGTCTAAAATCTAATCCCGATATCATAATCCAAAAAGCAGATAAAGGAAATGCTACGGTGGTCATGAGTACAAATGAATATCAGGAAAAGATTCAAGAAATTCTTACAGACAGATCATAAAAAAGATCCTACGTCATCTATGGAACGCAACCTTAAATCTGTTATTAAGGCTTCATCGCTATCTGTCAGCACTCATGACTCTAAAATTTGTCGTCTCTACGGACTCCCAAAGATTCACAAACCAGGATTACCCCTACCGACTTATTGTCAGCACCATTGGTTCAACAACATATTCTCTACCAAAATATCTAGCTTCCTTACTAAAACCCTTTACAGGGAAAACTGATAGTTTCGTACTTAATTCATTGAACAATTAACAAGCATTATATTAGATTTAAAAGATATTCTAGTTAGTTTCGACAAAGTGCGTATTCCTGAAACTCTCAACATCATTTCAGATATATTAAAATCCCAGAATCTGGAATCAAACCTTCTCACCTTAATTGAAAATTCCTTGCCTGGAACATAATTTGCTTTGTGGCTTTTTGTGTAGCTTGAGTGTTTACTACAGTTTTTTTTTACCGAACGAAAAATAAACGAAAATTATGTCTGGTAGAAAGAAACGTACTGGAATCAAAAGGCAGAGATTGGTTTAAGTAACTCAGGAACAAGAATTTGGTATAAAAAAATGCATCAGACAAGGATGCATCTTATTTCCAATCAATGGAACCCAGACCAAGAAATAAAACCCAGAATTGAACAAGCACGAGTAACCTTCCTAAAACTAATAATGCTAAAAATACCCTGGATTGATCACGTAAAAGACGAAGAAGTACTTCGAAGAGCAGAACTCTTCGGTAGAATCAAAAAAAGCAAGTTTGCATACTTGGGCCATATAATACGTAGCCAACGTTATCACTTTCACCGTCTTATTCTTCAAGAAAGAAATAAACTATCCTGGAGAATTGCAGAATGCAGCTCTAAATAGAGAAGGAAGCAAGCAGGAACCTGTATGGCACTATAGAAAGAAGATTAGAGAAACGAAAAAATGATGACAGTTTCAAGAAAAATGGACATCACAATGAGAACACTACTTGTTTGCTGTGAAATGAATCCATTTCAGTGATAAAAAATCCAATATAAAGAGGCATCATTATCCTATTAAGCATCCAATGCTCCACTTACTGACAGGACAGAAGCTTAGCGAAAATTTGGAAAAACAGCAGCAAATGTTTCATGAACAAAGAACACAACATGATAATGTTGTCAAAGCTAGTTTTACAGTTTGTTCAAAATTAGAAAAGTCATGCCGAAGGAGGTTGACTAACAGCTCAATTGCCTATATTTATTCGAGGTGTTGATAAAGAGTTCACTGTTACTGAGGAAGTGATTGATTTAGAGCCGCACTACAGTGGCCTGTAAAAGTTTCTTTGAAAAAAAAAATATCAATTTTATTCGATCTCGAGGGCTTAACCATCAATTTGTAAAGATGGTTAAGCCAAGGCAAAACGCTGAAACGGTTTTAAGAGCTCAGAAATAAGATAGAGGATTTTATGCAAATAAAAGATTAATTACTGATTAGTCAGTGGATTGGAGCATTTGTGGTTTTGCTTACCGGTTACTTGAATGATTTCAATATCAAAATCAAAAACAAGGACAGTTAGTAAATGATTTGTACAGTCATTTGAAAACGTTTCAGAACAAAATCCGCTTGTGGTAGGCACCATGCTCTCTTATTATATTGCTAAAGAACTTAAGTTACTGTCGAAGAGCTTTAGCGATTCTAAAAACATGAAAAACTGTTTCAACTTAAAGAATAGTTTACAAAATGCTCCAATACAATTTCAAATGGAGTTGATTGAAATTCAAGAAAACTCACTAACTACTAAAATCTGAAAATGAGGAGTTGCTTGGCAGTACTTATAAAGGCGAACAGTTCTATTCAATAATGAAAAAGAAAATTCTTTGTATCACGTCGGCATCGACAGTTTTTCAAATTCAAGCTCAAGTGTCTCATTAATTTCGGCGTCGCTATTAAACTTTCGCAAATTGTAACAATTTGAAATTTCAAGAACTAATTATAATGTTGTAACTATTCTTTTTATTATATTGTATTATGAGGACAATGTCGTACTATTTCATTGATATCTATAAACACCAATTTCTGAACGCCTGCCGTGAACGTATTTGCACATTAAAGTTTGGCCCGCAACATGTCAAAGGTTGCCCATACCTGTCTTAAATACTTGCAATCGATAACTACGAACTTCAAAAGCAATATGAGGAAACAAACGAAGACATAGATCGGTATAATATGAAAAATCACTTACTTGGAGACAGCGTGTAGTCCCAACTCTCCGAGTCATTCTTGTGGACGTTCAATTTTTCAGGCTACAACAAACAAACAAGCATTTTAAACTACACGAAACACGTTTTAGGAGAGTAGCGTTAATTCGTCTCGCCGAAGAGTGATCTCGTTTGAATAGAACTGGAAAATATTTATGCTCAGGTAAATTTATCCTACTTAAAAGTTTTATCCTAAATAAAAACTCCAATTTCCGCTCCGGCGAACTTATATACTCCTATTAGTTCCGCGAGAAACGTTTAATTTACCAACTCTAACTATTTCGGTTACGAATTAACAATCCGCCGGCTCTTTCAAATGATTAAAAAAAAACGCCTCGACTTTTAAATCGCATTATTTCGGTCAGAACTTCTTTTTTGGATAGGCTATTAAAACTACAACTTTCCAGCCCTGCGTCCGACAACTTTTGACATCGTGGCACATTTCGCTTGCGTGCACCTAATTTTCATTCGAATTACTAAAAGCCCTCTTCGTCGCTGAATATAAATTAGAAAATATTCCGCAAACAACTGAACGACGAGCTTTAAGTAACAGTCGGATATCTCCGTTGACATCAATATGGATTTCGAAGAAGCGCTGAACGTCGTAGGTGTGTTTAATGGACACCACCCCCTCGCACGCCCTTTACTCTCGGCTCATTAATGCCAATTACCAAAAGTTCGATTTAAATCTCGCAAGTTTTTATCATAACTCGAATGTGCCAAGAACACATTTAATAACCTGAACGTAATACCTTCATCATATCAAAGTACGGAGCGCTTAATTTTCTGAAAATTTCAAACGTTCTTCACTTTTGAAGTGCTTTAAATTTGAAATTTTTCATTTTTTTTTGCATTTCTGACTTGCAAATTATTTTTCCTAAACAAGGACCTATACTTTGTTTCTGAATGCGATAGAGTTATAAATCATTATTGAACAGTGTTTAATGCACCTCGATAGCGCATTTGTTTGATTGCCTAATGGACTGACTGTATTTTAAATTACTTAATTTTTTTTTTTTTTTGAACGACTTACTTCGTGTGGGACATACCGAGGTCACTATGGTACATAACGAAAACCGATACGTGTTGTTGGTTTGACGATCAACCCCCGAGAGCGTTCACTTTTCTGTATTTTTCGAACGCTCCTCACTTTTGAAGTGCTTTAAAATTGAACTTTTCATATTTTTTTGCATTTCTGATATGCAAATTATTTTTTCTAAACACGGACATCGATACTGATATATGATATATGATATATATGATAGAGTTATAAATCATTATTAAACAGTGTTTAATGCACCTCGATAGCGCATTTGTTTGGATTGCCTAATGGACTGACTGTACTTTAATTTTTTTAATTTACTTTTTTTTTGAACGACTTACTTCGTGTGGGACATACCGAGGTCACTATGGTACATTATGGTGCCGAAAAATAAATTTGTTTTACTAACGAAAACCGATACGTGTTGTTGGTTTGACGATCAACCCGCGAGAGCGTTCACTTTTCTGTTTTTTTCAAACGCTCCTCACTTTTGAAGTGCTTTAAAATTGAACTTTTCATATTTTTTTGCATTTCTGACATGCAAATTATTTTTTCTAAACACGGACATCTATACTGATATATGATATATGATATATATGATAGAGTTATAAATCATTATTAAACAGTGTTTAATGCACCTCGATAGCGCATTTGTTTGGATTGCCTAATGGACTGACTGTATTTTAAATTTTTTTCATTTATTCTTTTTTTTAACGACTTACTTCGTGAGGGACATACCGAGGTCACTATGGTAAATTATGGTGTCGAAAAATAAATTTGTTTTACTAACGAAAACCGATACGTGTTGTTGGTTTGGCGATCAACCCGCGAGAGCGTTCACTTTTCGGTTTTTTTCAAACGCTCCTCACTTTTGAAGTGCTTTAAAATTGAACTTTTCATATTTTTTTGCATTTCTGACTTGCAAATTATTTTTTCTAAATACGGACATCTATACTGATATATGATATATATGATAGAGTTATAGATCATTATTCAACAGTGTTTAATGCACCTCGATAGCGCATTTGTTTGGATTGCCTAATGGACTGACTGTATTTTAAAATTTTTCATCTATTCTTTTTTTTTAACGACTTACTTCGTGAGGGACATACCGAGGTCACTATGGTAAATTATAGTGTCGAAAAATAAATTTGTTTCACTCCCGAAAACCGGTACGTGTTGTTGGTTTGACGATCAACGCGCGAGAGCGTTCACTTTTCTGTTTTTTTTTTTCAAAATTTGATTTTGTGTGTTTAACTCAAAAACGCGCTGTTTGATGATCTTCTTTAGACATAAAAAGCAGTAATGCGAAACGAAACCTATAGAGACTGCTAGTAGTGTGAGAATTATTAGAATTTGTAAACAAAGTTCATGAAACATGAAACAGAAAATGCTTTCCCAAAAACGAAAACAAAAAAAATCTAAATCAATTATTAATAATAATATTTATACCAAATAAAAATAAATAAAAAAGAGGTTTAAATCAAAACCGAACAAATAGTAAAATTTAGTGGTTATAACAGTATTACATAGACGTAGTACATTACCTATGACGATTGTCAAGGGTCCCCAGAGTGACAGGTAGAACCGCCGGTAGCCTTAGTGTTTAAAATTGGAATTATATTAACGAGTATTATCAGTATAAATATTTATTGCCTCTAAGTCATCTCCGCTTTGCGGACGACATCGAGCTAATAAGCTGAGACTTGGCAGAGTTGCGAGGAATATTCTTCGCACTGACAATAGCCTCGGAGAGGCTAGGCATGACAATGAACCTAACAAACAACATATCAGAAATAACACAGATACGAATAGACAATCAAATTAATCGAAAGGGTGGAAGAATAGATTTGCCGAAACAAACCAAGAGAAGAATTTGAATGACTTGGGCCGCTACTGGCAAATTTAACACCGATTTTAAAAATCCTAAAATACCCATAAATCTGAAATGCGTATCACGATTTATCTTCGATACCTGTGTGCTCCCAACTCAATTTAACACGAAGAGCACCAGAGAAACTCATGCTGGGCATCAACCTTTGCGGCCATATACGTAATGAAGAGATCAAAAGTGGAACGAAGGTAGATAACGTAATAGAGAGAGTTGCATAGTTCAACTGGGCCTGCGCAGGACACAGTGCCAGGCAAGATCACAGACGATGGACAAGCATCGATAGAACTTCCAGGACATGGATGGATTCAGAAGGCCACAGATAAGGAAGAGTGGAGGAGAAAAAGGGAGGTCTATATCCAGCAGGGAATGTTGAAAAGGTAGAAGAAGAAGAAAAAGGAGAAGAAGAAGTTAGTAGCAAAGTTCATTTTTGACAATGGCTAGTGTCTCTGATTTAGTTGCTAAGAAATGGGCTAGTAAAACTGCGCTTTCGAAAAATGAGAAATGTATTATTCTCAATGTGTTCAAAGCTCTTCGCTACCAAAACTAAACCTTGGGAATTGCAAAAATGGTCAAATTGTGTTCGAATATGACTGGAGTTGGACAGAGAACAATATACGGACTTGTGAGAAAGAGGGACCCACTAACCTAAGAAAAATACATGAGGAACAGAAACTGTAATAAATGAGGATAAAAAGACTCCCATCGGAAGAAACCCTGGTTGTACTGTAAGGAAATACCTAGCTTGGAAAAAATAATTTCTGAAATAAAAAAGAGTGATTTCGTTCCACCTATTGCCATTGTCAAAAACTTTGAAGGGAATGAATTTTGGCTAGAAAAAAACTCAGACCAGAAAATAACTTTTAATAGAAAAGACGAAAAAGGGAACAAAGACAGTGGATTATAAAAAATGTAGTAAGTGCGCAGAACATTGATACAGAATGTGGGAAGCTGATAACTTGAGAGGAAACACTGTAGAGTCCCCTATAATTTCTCCGGACAACAATTTCCTTCTCGAAACATGAAAACTAAAATTTACTGCTGCAAATACCTAGTAGATTTTTTTCAATATTAATTTTTATTGCAATTTATCCATTTTCATATTATTTTTACTGCTCAATAAGTTGTTATTAGCTTGATCTTTAATTGATATCTCAATTATCTGCCCATCTATATAATTATAATCATGCATAATTATTATTATATGGATTATTATAATAAACTATGTAATTTAAATAATAAAATTTATTCGCCAAACTAGTCTTTCTATTGTATGTAAATTAGTGTGACCCTAATTTAGCAGTGTTACAAGTTTTGACATAATGAACTGATATCTGCACATTTCGTTTATAGTTTGTAGTATTGTATTTTAGAGCGCAGAAAATTGGAAATCTTAAATTTTTAAATTTCGTCTAATTAATTTAGGCGTTTAAGACAAGATTTTGGAACATTCTATAGTGAAAAATACTACGTAAGACAGCCTGTAAATTACGTAGTAACATTAACGTCTTCACTATATCAAGCGACCAGCTGTTAACAGACCAAAACGAATATAACAACAATCTCATCATCAAACCTGCCAAATACACGAGTCGTCTGACTTTGGAGTGCCTAAAGTTAAAAATGTTATTGACACAATAGTTTTTTCAAACTTTTTGCATGACTTCCTGGGGCCTAGTAGTCTGCTATTTTCTTTTTCTGTGACTATCATGGAAACAACCAAAGGGGAAGAATACACGGGGTATACCAAGAAGCAGTGGAGGAAAATTTACGACAGAGAAGGATTATTAATTGGAGAAAAATAGCAAGAGATAGAATCAAATGGAGGAAAATTACACAGCTCTGGGCCTAAATGGAATGTCAAAAAGCTGATATATACATATTTGTTTCGGAGGCGTTTTCGAAATATTTTTTCTGCGGTTTGACAACATATAAAAAACTCATAGGCTTCACAATATGAATGGAAAGGCGAAAACGAACTTTCGCAACGGGTACGTGTCGAAGCGAGTAAATCTAAATAAAAGATCAAAGAAATTTTTCCGCGACATATTGTCTAAACGCATAAACCAAACTATTTCGGAAATTTTCGAATCCCGTGGGAGTAATAATAAT